GCTCAGAGCCTGGAGACTGTTTCAGAATCTGTGTCTCCCTCTCTCTCTGACCCTCCCCCATTCATGCTCTGTCTCTCTCTGTCTCAAAAATAAATAAACGTTAAAATAAATAAATAAATAAATGAACATTAAAAATAATAATAATAAAATAATGTGACTTAATGTTTATCTAGACCTTCCTCTGTGCTAATCCGTGTCATAAGTGCTTTCCATATGCTAAGCTATTATCCTCCACACTGATCTGTGACACAGGCACCTTGGGGGCCCCATTTCCCAAATGAAGAAACCGAGGCACAAGGGAGTTAAAATTTCCCAAGGTGATAAGGCTAGTAAGAGGCAGAGCCTGGGTTCAAATCCAGATGGACTGACTACAGGGCCATACAGTTTTGTTCCATTTTGGTTTTTAATGCTTTTTTTGTTGTTGTTGAAAGAGAGAGAGAGAGTGAGACTTTGAGCAGGGGGGGGACAGAGAGAGAGAGAGAATCCCAAGCAGACCCCTCCCCATCAATGCAGAGCTGACCTCATGGGCTCAAACCCACAAACCGGGAGATCAGGACCTGAGCGCAAATCAAGACTCTGACACTTAACCAACTGACCCCCCAGGCGCTCCAGGGCTGTATAGTTTTGAAAGCAAAGTTCAAAGTCACCCAATTAGTTGGTCTTAGAGGCGGGGTTAAATCCCAGGGCCTTTCCAACATGGGGAAAATACATTCATTCAAGAAACATGTACCCGGCGTCTCCTGTACATTATACTGTGGACACATGGGGAACAACAGAAAAGTCCCAGGCCTTTGGGGGTGTCTCTGGGGGAGGGGATCACCAAATAATCCCCCAAATAAAGGTGGAGTTGCAGTCAGCGACGAGTGTCGGAAGGGGTGGTTATAGGAGCCCAAATGCACCATCCGAAGGGGGAGTTGGGAGTTCCAGCGAGAGCACGCCCTCCTTTTGTATTCGTGTGGAGACAGCAGGGCCCTGGCTTGCACCGAATTCCCGAGCCACCTGCCCCTAACTTGATTTCCCTTCCACACTGTGTATTCCGCTGACACGGAACAAGTTCGAAAGCCTTGTCTTTGAAGAGATGTGACAAAGGCCCTTTGAAATCGCCTGCCCGGCTCTTAGCACCTTGAGCCCCAGGCTCAGCTATTCCAAGAATGGTCCCTGTGCCTTCCCCTGGCCGGGTGGCCCAGGGAGTCACATTCCAGCACAGTGGGAATGCTGGAACGCTGGGCTGGGTGACAGCTGGGAGTGCCTGCCCTCCCCACCGCCAGGAGGGAAGAGCCTGGCCTCAGGCCAAACACTCAGGCCCCTGGGAGACCCTGGGTGGCCTTGGCTCCAGGAAATTGAAAGCAGCTTTCAGGCGACAAAGGTTACAGGCCTGTTCCCTGAACGTTTACAACTTTGCTGATAGCTACCAGGTGGTGAGGGCCTGAGCGGGGCGCTTTGGGTACAGTATCCTGGTGACTCCTCTCCTAGCTGTAGACCACCACCCTGGGGTCCCAGGTGAACACGGAGGAGGGAGTGCAAGTGCTATAAGAACAGTGCACCTGAGCCCCTCCCCGGCCATCCAGGGCTTCCCGAATCTCATCTCAGCCCATCTCCACCCGCTGAGATCATCCCTCTACGCCACTGAGTGGATATTTTTGGGAAGTCGGACGGTCAGGCTGGAGCCACGGCAGGAAGCTTGGGGTTTCTCTTGAGAGAAGTAGGAACCCTCTAGAGCAAGGGAGCAGCCTGCCCCAATATGATTTTTTACAAAACAAAACACAAGAAACAAAAACCCTGCTGGGCAGGAATGGACTGGAGGAGGAAATAATGGAAGAAGGAGGATCGTCATGAACTCCTCATTGATGGAGGTTTGGACCGCATCTATTTATTTCCTCCTTGCAAACAGTTTTGCATGCACATCACTGCGCAGAAGTCCCTAGAAGTGGGATGGCCGGACTGAACACGCGGGCATATCTTTCATCATATCCAGATTGCCACGTTGCGTTCCGCGTCGTCCCCATCGTACGTGTGGGCCTCCCAGCCTCCACCCCGAACTGCTGCGCCCCCGGCCACACTTTGCCCGACCTCTCCCGCCCTGGCCCAGACCCCCAGAGTCCCGAACGCATTCGGAGCGCTCGTCGCCATCTGCAATTACAAGTCGTCGAGGGGAAAATCTCAGAATCAGGCTAAGTGGTGGCTGAAAAGACCGCCCAGGGGCTGCCTTTTCCAGTGCGAGTCAGACACAGGCCTCCAACACCCCGAAGAGGCCGATTTACCCATATTCTTCCAACCACAGAGAAGCTGCTTTTTTTTTTTGTTTTCTTCCGTTCGGCCGTGAAAATAAGGCACAGTGCTGAGATGACATTGAAAACAGGCCCTAGGGTTATAAATGACGGAGGGCTGGTTGGAAAACCCTTCTCCTGGCTGCTCTCTGGACACCAGGAAAGGAGAGAGCTGCTGTCCTCCGAACTCTCTGCCTCCCACCCCTCGGGGGCCCCATCTGGCTTCGTCAGAGTCCTGTGGC